TCGGTGACTTTGATGACGACGATACTCAATCAAATGGTCCGACAGATGCTGATTTCAATGAAAACGGCAATCCCACGACCTCCGTCGACCATCCTATCCCATCGCTCTCGACCCCTGTCGCCGGATCTAGCCGCCAGGTCCATTTCACCGAGGGCCCACCCGATATTCGACACTTTTCGGCCCGGGACGAGGAGACAGAGGTACCGGAGGTCGAGCCAGAAGCTCCCAGGCGCAGCCGTCGAGCTGCAGGAAGTGGGGCGAAGGGGAAGGGGAAGGCTAAAGCGAACACATAGAATATTGTAACCACTTTCATGGCCACGCGAATGGGAGTCGCGCAAAAAAGTTTTTTTGGGTTGGGAGGAAGTCTGAAAGTATGGCACAAAGTGAGCTTGAAAACTACTATTTCAAAAGTTACTATCGGGTAGGTGGGTAGTGCGCTGGTCGCTATCCACAGTCAGATATGCCGAGGTCTAGCGTTCGAGCCGGCCCAGTACTAAAATTAAAATGGCAACATTGCATTCTATATTTTGCTTTATGCTTCATACCCGTTTGAAGCCTTTCTTACCTTGCAATTCATTATAAAGCTTCTGTTCATTACAATCCCTTATAATTCTAATAGTCCCTTACCACGGCCAAGGGCCCTTGCGACATCATTGGATCCTTCTAAGACGACTCTCGGGTTACAAGGCGCTTCTAATGCAACATAATCTTAAAGCCTTCTAATGCCTTATTACGCATTAGAACCAACCTTACACTTTTCCGACAAAGGCCGTTTAAAGCCGAATAGGATTTTTCCGACATTCGGGGGGAGTCGAACCCCCTTCGTCCCAGTGAATGGGGTAGACTGTGGGTACTGTAACGGGATGGCCCCGCTGGCCCTCGAAGGCTTTCCCTACCGTCTTTCAACCTCCATTTACGGCGGAATTACGCGGCACTGGCATACTTTGGAAAGGGAGTAGTCAAGATCTCTGGTCTTTGAACACCACCCCCTCTGTTCATCCGTCGCGGTTGGGCGTACATGTTCGTGATTTAAATAGTCAAAAAAAGAAGGCCTCATTATACCTTTATGCCTTCGGGGGGAGTCGAACCCCCTTCTTCCCAGTGATGAGAGAGGATGCGTATTGTAGCGGGACAACCACCGCTGGTCCTCGAGGGCTGTCCCTGCTGTATTTAGCGCTGAATTTAAACGGCATATGCGAGCATGCCTACGGGGGGGAGTAAGGCTCGACGCTTCCTGCGCGACGGCTCTCCCTCCCTGGAGCGGTTGTTCATGCTGGATTTGAGATTTAAATTTGCGGGAGAGCCAGAAGAAAGACGGCTGCCTCATACATCAAACCCCGCCTCCCGGCCAAAGTGTATGCCCGTCTGTACGGAGTGATCCCCACGGAGCCCCGAAGGCACATTACCTGTACTTTAAGCCTAAGAAGTAAATATTTCAATGTGATCAGCCCAGACCGCGAACTAAAAAACTGATGCGATACACGACAGGCCTTCGGGGGGAGTCGAACCCCTTCTTCCCCTGGATATCCTGAACTTTAATACGGCGGCGGGATGAACACCGTTGGTCCTCGAAGGCATACTCAGCTGTACTTCACGCCTAATAAATCCCCGTTTAACATGACACCCGCTGTATTTTCTCGCTCAGAAGTTTCCGCTTCGTGTTTCAATTTTCTGCGGCGCATTTATATGTAGGCGCCGCTGATGATACTAATCCTCGACGGGAAATAAAAAAGAACAACTCTCAGCAGCACACCTTCGGGGGAGTCGAACCCCCTTCTTCCAGTGGAACTAGGTGGACGCAGGAGGACCATGGACGCAGGATGATCACCGTGATCCTCGAAGGTATATTAATCTGGACTTCAAGGGCAATAAATTTAAGCGAATGGAACACGAGAAATTGAGGACAACGCGCACGCGCTATTTGTACATGTATACGCGTTGGCCGTCCGCGCACAACACACGCACACAAGAACGTCACCCCCAGACACACCCTCCTCCCTCATTCCGCCCCTCCCTCGCGCTGGTGCGACTTGAAAGCTAGGCAGCCATGGTCCTCAAGATCCTCGCCTCGGCCTTGCCGTACTTCCCGACGGAACACACGGTCCACATCGTCACGGGCCTCATCCTGGTGCTCACCGCCCGCGCCATCTCCCAGGGCCGTAAAACGACGAGAGAGCGCGATCTCCATGCGCGGGTTGTCCTCGTTACCGTGCGCCGCACCTCCACCGTCTTCACCTACACGATTCATGGGCTTTTGTAGGGTGCATTCTCGCCCATGGGCCTCACGCTGCTCGAATCCCTGGCTCAGCGAGGCGCGCACATCATAGCGCTGACGCCACACCCCGTGGACTCGGAGCAGGTAACGACGTACATCGAGCTCCTCCGCTCGACGACGTCCAACGAGCAGATCTACGCCGAGCACTGCGACCTCGCGTCTCCGCCCTCCATCCAGGCGTTCGCCGCGCGCTTCATGGCTGCCAAAGAAACGCGCATCGACGCCCTGCTCTTCACGCATGAGTACCGCCACATCGGCCCCCTGCGCTTCCTCTCGCGCGCCCCACCCGCAGACGCGGACGCCGAGCGCGAATGCGCCGCGCTCGCAACCTTCCTCCTCACGACGCTTCTCCTCCCCGCGCTGCTCACCGCGCCCGCAGAGCGCGACATCCGCATCGTCAACGTCGTCAACCGCTTCTACGCCGCCGCTGCCGCGCTCCCCCTCGCCGCGCTCGCCGCACCCGCACTCCCCCCCTCGAGTGCGCTCTTCCTGCGCGAGGGCGCGCGCGCGCTGCGCACCGCCGTGCTCACGCGCCATCTCCAGCGCGTGCTCGACGCGCTGCCCGCGCCGCCCGTGCCCGCGTCCGACGGCCCCGCGGTGCGCCCCGCCGCGCAGAAGAGCAACATCGTCGCGGTCGCGGTGTCGCCGGGCGTGAGCCGCGTCGAGACCGTGGCGCCACTGTTCAACGCCGACTGGGCGCGCGGGTCCGAGTCATCGACCGCCGGCATTCTCCTCTACCTCCTCGCCTACCCGCTCCTCCTGCTCTTCACCAAGTCCGCGCGCGCCGCGCTCGAGAGCGTGCTGCACGTGCTCTTCCTCCCCACGCCGTTCAAGGTCGCGAGCAGCCGCGCCGGGGCCGGAGAGGAGATCGTCGAGGGTGCGGACGCGAAGGGGAAGGGGAAGGAGGGCGTGGAGCCAGGCGAGCTGCTGAAGCCGGGCGCGCTGTATGCGGAGTGCGCGGTGGTAAGGGTCGCGGTGGGCGCGTCTGCTTCCGTTCGTCCTGCGGGCGAACAAGCAACCGACGGAAAGGCGGCCGAGAAGACGGGTCAAGACGCAGAGGAAGGCGAGATGGCGGACGACGGCGAGCTGGGCGGCGAGGCTGCGGGACGCGCGGTGTGGGAATGGTACGAGGCGGGGCTGAAAAGATGGGAGGGGGCGTTTCCGGTGCCTGCCGCGCCCGATGCGAGTGCGGAGAAGAGGGCGGATGCAGCGAAGGGGAAGGGGACGGAGAAAAGGACATGATACCCTAGTGTAGGCCCTGCGTTAATACTAATAGATGTCGTTCGCTACGCGGCGCGGCGCGAGCGCTCTCCATCGGCCGCGAGCCGGTGTACGCGCACCCCTTCCCGCTCCCGCTCCTCTGACCCAACGCATGTGCAACCCTTTCAAATAACGCTTGGTTGTGTAATCATGCGAGGCTACCCAGCGAGCTGGGGTTTGACCCCCCTCGGTACGTTCGGTTGATTGAGAGTATTTTTTGCGGGCGGCTGGCTGGAATATACTGGCCAAGCACTGTTATTTCTCGACTTGTGTGTTCGGAAATCAGCGCTAATAATGCACCGCGGTGTACGGAACACACGCTGAGCACTTAATTAATCTGAATCGTCCAGGTTTAAAAGTTACCGAGCGAGCCGGGGTTCGATTCCCCGCGGTGCACTATTGGGTGGCTGGCTGGAATCCATCCATCGGCTACATGGAGAGCATGTATAGAATTAGTTCACAGAACGCACCGTGGTGCACGGAACACGCGCTAAGGACTTTATATCGTCTAGTGTAGCTTTACCAGCGAGAGCCGGGGTTCGACTCCCCGCGGCGGACTCTGTTAGTTGCTGGCGAGTCGCTTTTTCATCGCGGTGGCTGGCTGGAATATCCACTTCGCCAATCACTATTATTTCTGGACTTGTGCGTTCGGAACTCAGCCCAAATAATGCACCGTGGTGTACGGAACACACGCTGAGCACTTTTATTTTGTGTATTGATTCAGCTCACGCAGCAAGCCGGGGTTCGACTCCCCGCGGTGCACTGAAAATGCCGGAGGGATTTTTTGGCGGGCGGGTTGGAATTTGTTCGTCGAATCGGAGTCCACATGCACAGTATAGAACCGGTTTACAGAACGCATTGTGGTGTATGGAACACGCGCTGAGCACTTGTCGCTATCACGCGGGACTACCCAGCGAGACAGGGTTCGACTCCCCACGGTGCACTTGGTTGATTGAGAGTACTTTTTTGCGGGCGGCTGCAATCCAACCGTCGCGGAGTCCACATCGACAGTATAGACCCGGATCAAGCAACGTACCGTGATGCACGGAACACGCGCTGAGAACTTTCTATTGTTACAGTGCAGCTTTACCAGTGAGAGTCGGGGCTCGACTACCCGCGGTGCACTGGTTTGGGTTGCAAAAGCAGCTTCTTTTTGTTGCCGGTCGCTGCTAGACTCGTAACCAGTCTGCCTACGAATGGCAAAAATGTGGCAAGCACTTTGCCGTAGGCAGACTGGTACAACTCGTGATGACATGATTGAGCTGCGCGCGGAGTTTGAGTGGTTGAGGGAAGTAATTCAAACTCCGATGATTATATAATAACGACGCGACCTATACATGATCGCGCACTTAACTAGTCTCGTTCCCTGACGTTCTAAGGGCAGTGAATCGCGGGAGAATCTATCCGGAGATATCGGAGCCTCGGAATATGATCCGAGGCAGATTTTGATGAAAATTTGATCGCGATTCACTGCCCTAGAACGTCTGGTGTACTTTGACCGTAAAGGGTGCCATCGTGTCACGCTGTGGCTGTGGAGTGACTTTTCGCGTCAGACATGCTCCCCCCGCCGTCTGTCGAGTTCATCCTTTTGGCTCTATAGCGTTGTTGGAACAACTTAATAGCTGTTTGTAATGATTTCCCTGAAGGTAGTTAATGTCCGTAGACTTGTATTTAAATTGGATACTGATATTGTACTACTAGTAACCTCGTGTTCGGTTCACCCGGTCACCGTTGATTTAAACTCCAGCAACCCAGGAAGGGCTTCTCAGATAAGGCACAAAAAATTACTATTGTCCTGGTATGGAGCCACATTGTGCAGCAGGAGGCGGTTTATACAGTAGGTAGGTAGGTAGGTAGCATTACACGGCACGGTCCCGCTTAGGAACGCCGGTTAATGACTCAGAGTCGGAAGCCCTGATCGTCCGACCAATCCTGCCCTGTTGCCTTACATACGGCCGTCGGTTCAACCACACATCAATTTTCTTGAGCCGTTCGAGATTTGCGATGTCTTTGTAGCATAATGGTGGGCCCGAGAAGAGGAACAGGTCCTCGTTCATGATGCAGCGCAGATAGGGGTTGGTGACATTATGTTACTAAGTGTTATTAATGTGACTGATGTCACCGATGGCACCCTTCACGGTCAAACTGCACCAGATGTTAGGGTGGTGATCTCGTTGGCAGTTTTTTTGATCTTTTCTGCCTCGAGATCATTCCACCATCCTAACATCTGGAGCCGAGATTAGCACTTAACTACAGACTTGACTGGTACAACTCGGGATTTGCAATTGAGCTGCGCCCAGAGTTTGAAAATTTTGGGTGGTGCCGATCACGCCATCACGGTGGCTGAGCACTTGCCATCAATTCTCTTGTAACTCCCAGTGTTTTGGACGCGCCTCCCACGGAGCCTTTGGAAATTCTGAGGAGACAGAACTCAAGAGGGCTGGCATTAGAAATAGGGTTCTCTTTGAATTTTTTATAAACGACCCGAATTGAGCCCAGGGCGGCGGCGGGGAGAAATTTTCACTTAGCCGGCGGCTCTAGCCATAAACTTCGAGAGAAAAGGTCTCTCAAAATCTCATTCACAACTGCACTATCTCTTCAGAATCACTATAATGGTCCGCCTCCCTTCAAATTGGTATCTCGGCCTTTTCCGCGTGCCGGACCATCAAGGTTCGGCATTGCGCTTCTTCGACCTTCCGCCCAACCAACGGCGGAACAATTTACTCGTTTCATATTCATGAACATAAATCTTGGGTCAGGAGAGTGAAATACGCGTCGCCGAAGCTTTGGGAACATCAAAAAAAGTCTGTGATTTGTAATAACGAGGCCAGCGATCATTCGATCGACCTTACTGACAGACTATAACAAATGAGGTACGAGTTGATAATGTTATAGTGTCTGTTTATAAGAGACTAGTACCAGTCTGCCTACAGCAAAGTGCTTGCCACATTTTTGCTACTCATGGCAGACTGGTTACGAGTCTAGGTCGCTGCCTGGAGTATCTGCTTCGCCAATCACTGTCATTTCTCGACTCGTCTCGCATCAAGAATCTGAGCCATTCATATTCATCTGTCGTCGATGATTGATCTTTACCTACCTACTTACCCAGTAGCCACCACTCAAAAGAACTGGACGGAACGTGACCGGGATGTCCAGCTCATCTGGGGTTTCCTAAAATTAATCTGGGCTGTGAAATGGGCCTCCGTCAAGCCTCCGTCAGGCGTGGAATATGAACATCGAACCTCAATTCTCAGATCCGAAATCCAATCAGAAATCTATCTACACACCGCCCCTTGTTCAGTCCAGAATCGCACTGATCTGCTATTGAAAAATCTTTATCGGGCGTGCGAGACTTCACGCCACATGCCCACGGTCAATATCACATTCCCTAGCTACCATCCAACTACCATCACCTAAAAAAATCCCTCCAGACGGTGCTATAAATTGGGATGCCTGGGGGGCCATCCCACTTAGGTGCGCCGATACGATGGTCCCCTTCAGCCCATGGAATACCCTGCTGTCTCAGCTCTACACTACCTCGGTATGCGTGCGCCGCGATGTTATACGGGAAGATGGCTGATGATCCCTCTCGAGATGTCCCTCCTCTTCTACGGCCTGTCCTTCCTGGCACTGCGAAGTAATCCTGCCTGACGGAAGACACAGGGATCTACCTGGTGCTCTTCATTCTCTCAACATATACCTTGTCTCGCCGTAAAACTGCTGGCCGGCGTATCTTGCTCCTCAGCAGTTGGGCCATGTTCACCGTTGGCAGTGCGATTCTTGTGATAGATGTCCTCGCAACCGCAGTGTCAGCTCGAATGGTCCAGGCGGTTGATAATCCCTTCGATGTAGATGCGGCATCGAAACCGCATCTCATTCGTGTATTCGCCGCGTTGGAACTGGTCCGCAATGCCTTGTTTGCGTTCAACACGTAGGTCCATCGCACGTGGCTCGTTCCTAGTCCCCTGAAAATTATTGGATGGAAGTTTGTTAGCGGACCTTCTTTTTGTTCAGTAAATTACTATTGCCTGCCGTACTCCAATTAACTATAATCTTCATAGGTGTATCGGTGCTATGTGATTTGGGCAGAGCGCAAAAGCATCATCGTGATTCCCTGCATATCTGTTCTTGCAACCACTGGTAAGAGCTTCCCGATTCTTGTTTTCACTTCCGTCCATAAACAATATGTCCTCAGCTACAGGTGTTGCATATTTCTCACCCGCAAATTTTCGCTCAGCGGGGTAACATTCGTGCTTGACCCGAGGATTCCATATATCTTGGGAATTCTCACTAACATCATCTTAGTGGTTCTTACTGGTGAGTGAAGAGCCTACAGTGCCGTCCGCTTTAGCTCACTGTAAATGAATTAGCCAGTCGAATTTGGTGGATACGGCGCCAAGCCCGTGTTGTCTGCGCAAGCATATTCGACCGTCGCTACGGAACTGCTCTCACGCTTTTGTTTGTCTCAAAGTGGAACACCCCGTATTGTGCCTGACATCGACCCAGACTCGAGACCGGTGGACTCTATTGCCTGTGCGGGATTCTGCTGGCCGCTTTTGCAACGCCCGATGTGTCCTTCGTCGCGGTGAGTGATTTTTCCTCACGAGTAACATGATGACGAACTGGAGCCCCAGCGCTCAATATTCTACGGTCTTGCAGGCCAGGAGTTGTTAGTGTTCCTGTCCCTTCCCATCGAATAGCTAACAATATATTTATAGAATATCCTCCGACGTTGATTATAGTGCGCGTAGGCCTAGGCCATAACATGCATGACACGGTCCAAGACATCGCCGCCGCTCCAACCACACGAAAGAGCCAAAAGACAGCTATCCGGCCGAGGCGATCTACTTCCGAGGTGCTCGATATTAAATGGGAAGATGCAACAATGTGTGATTCTGCGAGCAGTGTTAAAGGCTTAAAGCCGTCCCATCACCGATGTTGACTCCTGTTCCTCCGTTATTATTTTAGACTACATTACAGTAAAACGCTTCGGAGGAATGTCTAGATTTGTGTGAATTGAACGTTTTACCTCTCTCTCTCGAGCTTCATGCAGCTGCATGTTCAAATAATCACGGGACAAGATTCCGGCGACTTCGGGATTCACCGGCGGCCATCATTCGGCAGGTGTTATGATCGATAGGATCAATGATTTGCAGATGTCACAGATGTGCGGCACTGCGTGACCCGTTATGAGCTTTCACCACGACCAAACCACGACAGGCCGAGCGGCAGGATTGGACCAAGCAGGCAGGATGAAACTGAGACTTCCGGAAGTCGCAAAACGCGGTTTCAACAAGCCTTTACCCGCAGATGCTGAGGATCAAGCAATTCAGGTGATCGGATGGTCAAACAGCGGCTTCGTCTTGCGCGAAATGCAGTGAAGGAGATTCTCGGTGATGCTTAGGACCTAAATGATTACATACACTGCTCGAATTCACTCTGGTTCTGTTTCCTCTGAGTGATTTCTCGCCCTTGCAATTTGGCGACTTGCCGTCACCTCCCGTTCCGGCCGTCCCGTCACCCGTCCCGTTCCGTCAAGGATTTCTGAGACCTCCCGACGGGACGGAGACGGGACGGGTTTGCCCGTTCGATACCCGTCGAAACGACGGCCGTCCCCGCCGCCGGGACGGCGTGCAGCCTTAGCATTTCCTTCCGACTAAATCGCCCTCAAATCGCCCTTCGACCGGGCCGTTAACCTGCAAATTCTAATAGAACGGGAGAAAAGACGCGATATTCTCCGGCATGTCTACAGCGCTCATATCG